AGAGCGCGCCCTGCAGCGCCCGCCGCCCCCCCGCGCCGAGGGTCCCCTCGTGGTGCACCCGCAGCCACGGCTCGCCTGCGGGGGGGGGGACACGGGGGGGGTTATGGGGGTCTGGGAGCCCCCCACAGACCCGCACATAGACCCCCACCCACACTCTCGGGGTGCACTCGCAGCCGCGGGGGCGCCTGGGGAGGGGGGGGACGTGGGGGAGTTGTGGGGGGTCAGAGAGCCCCCCCACGTCCCCCCCTCCCCGGACCCTCCCTACCCCCTCGTGGTGCACCCGCAGCCACGGCTCGCCTGGGTGGGACACCGGGGAGTCATCAGCGGGTTTGGGGGTCCCTGAGCCCCCCCCAGCCCCCCTTACCTGCCCGCAGGTGCTGCCCCGCTCCCACCAGCAGCTCGGCGCCCACGAGGGGGTCCACGGGGTCCCCGGCCCGCGCCCGCCCCGCGCCCAGCCCGTGCAGGACCTGGGCCAGGGGCAGCGCCCGCACCTCCTGCACCCAGCCTGGGGGGCACGGAGGGTAGTGGGGGGGGTCAGAGACGTATGGGGGAACAGGGGGGACCAGAGGGGTCAGGGAGACCAGGGGGAACCCCCAGCCTGGGGGGTGGGGGGGGTCAGGATGGCACGAGTGGGGAGCCCCCAGCTTGGGGGCGTCAGGGACATGGGGTGCACAGGGGGGGAACCCCCATCGTGGGCAGGGCAGGGACTTGGGGGGGGACCCCCAATCTGGGGGGATTAAAACATGGGAGACATAGGGGAGAGTCCCCAGCCTGGGGAGGTCAGGGAGGGTCAGAGGCACGGGAGGGAGCCCCCAGCCTGGGGGTGTTAGGGACGGGGGGGCTGGGAGAGCCCCAGGACTGGGGGATTTGGGGCAGGGGGTGCAGGTGGGGGGCACAGGTGGGGATTCGGGGTCGGGGGGATGGAGCCGCAGGGACACCCAGAGGTGCAGGGTGTGGGGCAGAGGGGTTTGGGGACCCCCAAACACAGGGGGTGGGGGGCAGGCGGTGCAGGCGAGAACCTCCAGTGTTTGGGGGGAATAATCCAGGGAAGCCCTGAGGGTCCCGGACGGGGCAGAGGTGGGGCGGGGCAGGAGGGGATGGGAACGGAGGGGGGGCACAGGGACTCTGGGACACTGGACTCTCGGGGTGGGGGTCCCCCTCACCTTCCTGCAGCGCGGGCAGCTCCTCGCAGACCTTGGCCGTTCCCAGGAGCCGGCGGCGCTGGGCGGGGGTCCCGCTGCAGAGGCGCTGGGCGGTGTCGGGGGGCACCCCCTGTGCCCCCAGCATGGCCTCGAAGGTGCTCCGGGCTGAGCCATCGTCCAGCGCCCGCCCCAGGAGCTCCCGGCCCTGCGCGGGCCCCGCCACCTTCCCGCACTGCCACAGCAGCACCCCGCCTGCACCCCAAAACCGGCACGGGCTGGGACCCCCCTCACACCGCGGGAACCCCCCAGGGACCCCCCGCTGCCCCCTCCTCCTCCCCAACCCCCTGGGACAGGGAGACAGGTCAGGGGGAAGGGGAGGGGGGCCAGGACCCCGGGAGGGGCTTAGGGGGGACAGACAGAGGGGGGGAGACCCTGAGGCTGGGGGGGTTCGGGGGGACCCAAGGTTGGGGGGGTTCAGGGCTGGGGGTGAGTGGGAACGTGGGGTAGGGGGGTTCAGGGGGACCCCGGGGCCGGGGAGGTGCAGTGGCACCCCAAATCTGGGGGGTGCAGGGCTGGAGCTGAGGGGGACCCCGAGGATAGGGGGATTCAGGGCTGGGGTGAGTGGGACCCTGGGGATGGGGGGGTAAAGGCCGGGTGTGAGGGGGGACCCCGGGGCGGGAGGGGTCAGGACTGGAACGGGACCCGTGTGTGCCGCCCTTGGGCCACGTCCCCCCGTGTCCCCCTCACCCCTCCCGTGTCCCCTCCCCGTCCCCCCGCTGACCCAGGGTCGTGACCAGCTGCCGCAGGTCGGGGGGGCCGCCCCCGTCCAGACATTCCAGCGCCTCCAGCACCTCCAGCGCGTTCCCCACGGCCCTGCCCAGGGGCTGATCCATGCGGGACAGCACGGCCACCGTGCGGATACCCAGCTGTGTGCCCACCTCCACCTGGGCACGGACGGCGACAGGGACACGGGCAGGGAGAGCCGGCAGGGACGGGGACAGGGAAAGGGACGGGGAAAGGAAGAACAGACAGGGACAGGGACAGCGAGCAGGGAGAGTGGGCAGGAGAGTGAGCAGGGATTGGGACAGTGAGAAGGGACAGGGATGGCAGGAAGGGACAGGGACGGGCAGGGACGGGGGACAGGCAGGGACAAGGATAGCGGGCATGGACGGGGACAGGCAGGGACAGGGGAGAGGGATAGAGGGCAGAGTGAGCGGGTAGGGAGGGGCAGTGACAAGGGACAGGGACAGTGGGCAGGGATACGGACAGGGAGAGCAGGCAGGGGCAGCAGGCAGGGATAAGGGCGCACAGGGACAACAGGGAGGGCGGGCAGGAGAGCGGGCAGGAACAGAGAGAGCGGGAGGGCACAGCGGGTAGGGACAGTGGGCAGAGCAGGCAGGGCAGAGGTGCCCCAGCCCAGCGCCCCGAACCCCAGAGCAGGGGGCCGGGGGGCTCAGGAGGCTCCGGGGGGCTCAGGGGGTTCCGGGGGGCGCGGGGTCTCACCAGGCTCCGGGCCAGCTCCCGCGCGCTGTCCTGGGTGGGGTACAGGGCGGCACCCCCGAACTTCACATCGAGCACCAGCGCCGAGAGCTGCTCCGCCGCCTTCTTGCTGAGGATGGAGGCTGTGCCGGCGGGGGGTCACCGCCTGAGCCCCCTCCCTGGCCGTGCCCGGCCGGGGTGCCCGTCCCCGTGCCCCCCGTGCCCCGTACCGGTGATGAGGGGCACGCTGTCCACGGTGGCCGTGACGTCCCGCAGCCCGTAGAGCACCCGGTCAGCGGGTGCCAGCTCCTCGCTCTGCCCCACGATGCAGCAGCCCACCCGCTCCAGGGCGCTGCACATCTGCGGGGCAGCCGTGCCCCGTTGGTACCCCGCTGGCACCCATACTCCATTGGCACCCACACCCCATCAACGCCCCACTGGAATCTCATTGGGGCCCCATCAGCATCCCACTGGCATCCAATCAACATCCCGTTTGCACCCATACCCCACTGGCACCCCATTGGCACCCACAACCCATAGGCACCCCATCAGCACCCACCTCTGCCCTTTGGACCCCTTCAGCACCCCATGGGCACCCCACATGCCGTTTCCACCCCACTGGCACCCTGTAAGTACCCCATAGGCTCCCACACAACCCATGGGCACCCCACTGGCACACACAACCCATGGGCAACCCATCAGCACCCCACTGACGCCTGCAAGAGCACCCCAAGCTTTCCTGCACCCCATTGGCACCCCGCTGGGACCCCACTGGCACGTACAACCCATTGGCACTCTATCAGTACCCCACTGGGACCCCATAGGCTCCCACAACCCACCAGCACCCCATGGGCAC